TGTGTGTGTGTGTGTGTGTGTGTGTGCTGGCCCTGGACTTGAACTTGGGCCTGTATCCTGTGTGTGTGTGTGTGCTGGCCTTGGACTTGAACTTGGGCCTGTATCCTGTGTGTGTGTGTGCTGGCCCTGGACTTGAACTTGGGCCTGTATCCTGTGTGTGTGTGTGTGTGTGTGTGTGCTGGCCCTGGACTTGAACTTGGGCCTGTATCCTGTGTGTATGTGTGTGTGTGGTGTGTGTGTGTGTGTATGCTGGTCCTGGGCTTGAACTTGCACCTGTATTGTGTGTGTGTGTCTGTATGCTGGTCCTGGGCTTGAACTTGGGCCTATATCCTGAAGGCTAGTGCTGTACCACTTGAGCCACAGATCCACCTCTGGCTTTTTGGTGATTAATTGGAGAATAGTCTTATGGATTTGTCTGCAAGTTGGATCTCAGCCTCATGATTAGCTAGGATTACAGGTGTCAGCCACTAGAACCTGGCTAAACTGGAAGATTTTTTTTAAACTTTTTAAAATTGTTATTCTAAAGGTAGATTACAATTATGTAAGTCAGGTACATTTCTTTTAGACAGTGTCACTCCTTCTCTTGTAATCTCCCAGTTTTTCCACCCCATCTCCACCCACAAGTTGTATAGTTCATTTTCAACACAGAGTCTGATGAGTACCACTGCTGCATTTGTTTACCCTTTCTCCTTCCATTTCTTTGTTTCTCCTTACCCTCCCAAAGACATAAAATAACAAAGTAAGACAAAAAGAAGACAAAAGCAGCAATAAATTAAAAAAAAACCCTCATTTCCATTTCCTGGAGTTCATTTTGATAAATATTATTTTGTATGATCAGAGGTATATAGGCCTTGTGCCTTTGGTCAGGATGGAAGATATTTAAGTAAGTATATTTGCCAAATATAAACTATAACATTTTCCCCCTTTTTTGTTTCTTCTTCTTCTTCTTCTTCTTTTTTGGTGCCAGTCCTGGGGCTTGGACTCAGGGCCTGGGCATTGTCCCTGAGCCTCTTTCTGTTCAAGGCTAGCGCTCTACCCATTTGAGCCACAGCACCACTACTGGCTTTTTCTGAGTAGTTTATAAAAGGTAAAAGTCTCACCGGGACTTTTCTGCCCAGTCTGGCTTTGAACCATGATCCTCAGATCTCAGCCTCCTGAGTAGCTAAGATTACAGGTGTGAGCCACAGGCGCATAGCATAAATACAACCATTTTTCATTGGTTAACTTTGCTTCAAAAATAGTCTTAAAATGTTTAGAATGTTGACTGTGTTTGGAGATAAATGAACATTTATCTCTGGATTTATCTCTGGTGGATTTGCACCAAGTTGAAAAAGTTGAAGCCAGCTATGGTGGTACATACCTGTAATCTCAGTGGAAGCAGTAGGATCATGAATTTGAGGTCAGCCTTGGTTACAAAGTTAAAGGCCAGCTTAGAAAAAGTTGTGGGGAGGGGAGAGAGGGAGTCAGCAGAGAAAGTAGAAGAAAAATGAGGGAGGGGTAACAATGTTCGACAAGAAATGTACTCATTACCTTAGTTATGTGAATGTAACCCCTCTGTACATCAACTTTACAACAAAATAATTTTTTTAAAGTTGCAGCTCTTTTTTTCAGATGCACTCATCACTAGATTTAGTTAGTATATTGGGAATGATACTCATCAAGTTTTATGCATTCTGAAAATTTAGCACCTCAGTAACTCCAAAGACTATTTATCTCAGTGATTTTAGGTAAATAGTGGATCATTTTGAGTATTCATCAGAATCTACCTGCAAAGATTCTTACTTTTCTCCCTCCACACCACCACCACCACCACCACCATCATGACCACTACTATAAAAAGTCACAATTTTAATGAACAAATTATGACAATTTACAAATGACAAATACACCAAAGAAAACATTCTTACTGAATCAAAGAGCTTGCTTATTAACAAGGGAAATGAAAACAATTCTGATTACAAGGAGGAATGATACAAAATATTTTGAATGACAAAAGTAAGATGGCATGAGCAGCTACAAGGCTCATATCTGAAACCAGATATAAGAAAGCTTTGATTATCTCCCTGGTTTTTATTAGTACCTAATAGTAGAGGAAGCTAGGTATTTGAAGGGCCAAAGACAAGGTTGTCAGCAGTTATCTCTCAGATTTGTTTCAGAGGCCTATGGTCAATTTTTCTTTCATATTACTCCTATTTTTTTGTAAAATACTGTCATACATAAGAATGAATTATTTACATATAATAGGCTATCAAATTAATATAACACAGTTTTGTAATGGATTATTTCTCATAGGTTGGAGATATAAGCAGATATAGATATAGATATATCTATGTACTTGCTTTTGAAATAAATCTTACCATATAGTCCAGGCTGGCCATGAAATAATCAAGATTTACCAAAAATTCTCAATCCTTCTGAGTGCTGGGATTACAGGCATGTACAACTATGCCCAGCTTGGCTATATATATATTTTTTGGGGGGGGGTCAGTCATGGGGCTTGAACTCTGGGCCTGATCTTCAGCTCAAGGCTTGAGCCATAGTACCACTTTTGGTTTTCTGGTGGTTTACTGGAGATAAGAGTCTCACAGCCTTTCCTGCTTAGGCTACCTTTGAACCGTGATCCTCACATCTCAGCCTCTTGAGTAACTAGGATTTCAAATGTGAGCCACTGGCGCCTGGCTTGGCTATACTTTTTATTTTATTGTAAAAATGCTGTACAGAGGGGTTACAGTTACATGAGTAAGGTAATGAGTACATTCTTGTTGAGCATTACTACCCCCTCTTTGGCTATATACTTTTTAAAGAAGAATAAATGATGATATGGGAGAACCAGATAGAATAATATACTCTTGCAATAGGAGTTACAGAGAAGTTAGAAAAAAGTTAGAAAAAGATGAATGATCAGGTTAAAAAAAATTAAAGTTTTTCAATGCTTATAAACATGAAAAGCTAAACACTAGTCAAAGAAAAGGGAATACATATGCTTACAAAAAATATTCCAGGGCTGGGAAGGCGGTTCAGTGGTAGAGCGCTTGCCTTGCATGCTTGAGGCACTGGGTTCGATTCCTCAGCACCACATAAGCAGAAAAAAAAGCCAGAAGTGGTGCTGTGGCTCACATAGTACAGTGCTAGCCTTGAGCTGAAGAGCTGAGGGACAGCACCCAGGCCCACAGTTCAGGACCCACAACCAGACCCCCCCCAAAAAAAAAGTATCCCAAAAGCTGGGTGCTAATGGCTCATTCCTGTAATCCAGGCTATTCAGGAGATTGAGTTCTGCGGATCCCAGTTCTAAACTAGCCCAGGCTGGAAAGTCACTAAGACTTATTAACCACCAAAAAGCTGCAAGTGCTTTATTATTGCTCAACTGGTAGAACACTAGCTTTGAACAAAAAAGTTCAAGGAAAGTACCTAGGTCCTAAGTTCAAGCTCCAGGATGGCAAAGGAAAGAAAGAAAGAAAAGGAAGAATGGAAGGAAAGAAAAGAACGGAAGAAAGAAATTAAGGAAGAAAGAAGGGAAAAGAAAACAAGTTTTGATTTCTTATTTTGTTTGGGTTTATGGCACTTTTATTTCTAGATATTTCACTGCACTAATACAATACAGAAACAATCTGGTTCTTATTTCAGGTATTTCTGACTTAATATCTTAGAGAGAAAAAGAAAAATGCCTTAAACTTACTTTTATGACTTTCTGAAGTCCAAAGCTGTGTCTGTTTTTGTGTTTTCACCACATCAAATGGTAAAGTTACAATGGCTGCAAACTATCAGAAAGTAAAACTGATTAATTTACATCTACTTCTTAAGTTTTGCTAAAGTATTTTTAAATTCTAATTAGCACTATTTAAACAAGGATGATAATGAAAATCATAATAAACAAGTTTCAATCACTTTCAGGCACATTTAAAGAAAAGTTAAGGATTACTAAAAGGAATCCTTACAAAGGATTTAGGTATGTCCTGTGTATTCCTCAAAAAAACCTGAATCCCTTACTTAATGGGATTATACAGCTAGGTATCATGGCAAAGCCTCAGATTTCTCTATTTCTGAATCACTATTCAGTTTCTGAAGCTCCTGTAGATTCCATTACTCCTTTACTTCACGTGAAGCCATAACACATACTTTAATACAGAAATTCACCAGTATGTAGCAAATATTTAAAAATTTCCAGCGAATGTTTTAAGAATGGAATTATTAAAATAATCATGGTTATAACTGTAATGATGTAACAAATCCAGAAGTTATAACACATTTAAAATAAAACATAAAACACTAGACATATTGTAAATTATTTTAGTGATTTAAGATTTTATGCTTAAATATATTTTAAAGCAATACAACAGAAAAAGTACTCTCAATATATATATGAAGTTTGATAGCATATTTTAATCTATTTTACTATGTAATTCCCATTTGCTGGAATATTAACAACAAAAGAATACACTTACAGAACCAGACAATGCCCCTGAAGTAAAGCTGATCATAAATGTTGGTTCATATAAACCAGATTTCTCACATAACCACTTCTTTAAAATTTCATAGTTATACCAGTACATTGCTATAAAAACAGAGAATGAAATGAGCACATATTTAGAAATAAAGTATAAACTATAAAGAAAAGATTTATGAAACTATAAATCAAAAGAAAGGAAAAATTCTAATCTTGGTATACCTTGATTTCTGCTTAGACTGGATAATATGTAAAAATGTGGGGATGGAAATCCTCAATAATATTTAAGCAGTCTTATAAACAAAGCAAAACAGCACCAAAACCATTAATATATCAATAAGATAGGGCAATAATTTAAAAACCAGACAAGGACAAAGGGAAAAAAGAAAAAGTATATATAAATTATATAAATATAATCGATGAATATAGGTATAAAAATCCTTTTCAAAAAAAGAGAAAAAATGGAAGTAAAAAGTGTTTTTCATAAAAGATCACTCTTACTATTGTATGTTATCCTAGGAATGCAAAAATAATATAATAAAACACTACCAACCACACTGAAAAAAATCATAAAATAAAAGAATGATGAAAAATCACTTGATAAAAATCTATCTTTGGGGCTGGGATATTTATCTTTGGTGTCTCAGTTGTAGAGTGCTTGCTTAAATGCATGAGGCATTGGGTTCGATTCCTCAACACCACATAAGAAGAAAAGCCCGAAGTGGCACTGTGCCTCAAGTGGTAGAGCACTTGCCTTGAGCTGAAGAGCTGAGGAACAGCACCCAGGCCCAGAGTTCAGGTACCACAATGGACAAAAAACAAAAACAAAACTATAATTTCTATTTAAAGCAAATAAATAAATTTCTTTGAAAAATCTAAAGATAAGTCAGGCGCCGGTGACTCACATCTGTAATCCTAGCTATTCAGCAGGCTGCGAGCAGAGGATCATGGTTCAAAGCCAGACCAGGCAAGAAAGTCCATGAGACATCTCCAGTTAACCACCAGAAAACTGGAAGTTGTGCTGTGGCTCAAGTGGTAGAGCACTAGCCTCGAGCTAAAGAGCTGAGGGACAGTGCCCAGGCCCAGAGTTCAAGTCCCATGACTGCCCCCCCCAAAAAAAAATCTAAAGATATAAGGGAACATCTTTAACTTGATACAGGGTATGAATCAAAAGCCTGTGGTAAAAATAATTAGCAATGCTGAAACAACAGAACTATTTCCTTAAATTGAGCAAAATAAAATGACAGGGATACCTGATATATTTAGATAATATGTAAGTAGAAACCCAAGTGGTATTTAGACAAATAAGAATTTGTAACAGTACCTTAAAGGTAGATGGATATAAACTAAAAAGTAATTTATTTTATTTTACTTTATTTTTTTGTTGGTCGTGGGTCTTGAACTCTAGGCCTGAGTGCTATCCATCAGCTCTTCAGCTCAAGGCAGACACTCTACTATTTGAGCCACAGAACCACTTCTAGTTTTCTGAGTGGTTTATTGGAGATGGACTTTCCTGCCAGACTGGCTTTGAACTGTGATCTCAGTGTCCTGAGTAGTTAGGACTACAGGCGTTAGCCACCAGTGCCTAGCAAAAAATAAAAATTTTTACCAGCTACAAAGTTTTACAACATGTAACTTTAAAAAGTAGAGTTACAACAATGGCTATGTGGCACAAGGCCAAATAAAATAGCTACCAACAGCTGAGGGATAAGTATTACCTATAAGTTATATCTACAAAGCATCATACATTCTTCATTAGGACAAAGTTAAATATTTTAAAATCTTTAAAAAATTAATAACATAAACATTCCTAGAAATGAAAAATGAGGTAATATCAAGATTTTTATAAAGCTACAGTAATTTAGGAGAAGTATGCACACATACTTGGACAAATTAACCAATGAAACAAATCCAGGAATCCATGAAAATTTGATCTGGCAGAGATGACATTACATATCTCAGCAGCAACTCTAGTTACTCAATAAAGGATGTTGAGTTCAGAAGCTACCATAGACTGAAAATCAATTATAAGTAACTGAATGGCTAATGAAAAAGTGCCCAATCTTACTGCTAATCAGGAAAATGTAAATTAACATGAAATACTACTTTCAATTTCTAAGCTGTTAAAAGGTATGAAAGTACAAGAGATGCAATACATCTCTTGTAGATATCCAAATTTATCTACTTTAGAAGAGTTCACTATTTCCTAACAAAATGTATATATGTACATATGAAATGTGTCTATGGTATTTGTATAAACCATTAAATTCAATAGGTAAAACTATTTCATAGAAACATAAACTAAGTATTTTTGTAGTACTACTATTCCCTTATAAATAAGATTAAAAATGAATAAAACACAGTTACATATAAAAACAAGAAAAAAATCTTAGGAAAACTTGGAGTAAAGAAAGATATTTTTTCTCTTTTTTGGGTGGCACTGGGTTTGAACTCAGGGCCTGACAGTTGCTAGGAAGGTAGTCTACTGCTTGAACTATACTTTCAGCCCTTTTGGTTTGAGCTACATTTTGAATAGCACTTTTGCCTGGATAAACCTGGACTCCAATCCTTCTACTTATGCTTCCTAAAATAGCTGGGATGAAGGTATATACCACTATGCCCAGTTATTGGCTGAGATGGAAGTCTTTTGAAATTTCTGCCGAACTGTAATATCCTGATCTCTATTTTCCTCCAAGCAGCTAGGATTATAGGACCAAAAAACTGGCACCTGCACAACAAGAATTTTAAGACTCAATAACAGACAAAAACAATTCACTGTTTAGCAAAAATTCATCGAAAAAACAACAATCAACTAGAAATGTGTGGTCAGATGAGAAAATAACTTACCTTTATAAAGGTAAAAAGTAGATTGGGAAGATAAAGATACCTCAAATTAAGTAAATATGAATAACACAAATCCTACCTGAGAAAGGTACATCTCTAAGAATAGTAGGCGCCCAGCCCTTCCAGAGGGAAACCCAACCATCTTCAGATACTTTCTGGCTGATAAATTGACGTAGTTCCTTGTAAGAAAACTTCTTGGACTGCATCTTGGTTCTAATCAATTCTAATGGACTTATCACACTTACTGCACCAACTAATACAAATAAGACAAAAAAACTATGAAGTATGCAATTCTAAATGCACAAATATTAAATATGTTTTATGACATTTAACCTTTGATTCTAAAATGTCTGTAAACTTGACACCAAATGTCTAATTATATTAACCCACTTGAAACCAGAAAATGATGTATGAAAACAGAAACATTTAAAGGGAAAAAATACCTGTATCAACACTTTCAAGGTAGATAAAGTTACAGTCAACTATGTTATTGTCACAAATTCTGGTTAAGACCCCCAAATAACATCACTCGTATTTCACAAAGAAAAACATTTTTTTTCTTAACAGAAGCAAATCTCATTCTCCAAGCACAGAGTCCTCAACTTTATAAGGAAAATGATTCAAGACATTGGCCTAAATCATGTCTAAATTCAGATGATTCCTTAGAAATTTAAATGAATAAGACACAATTTTAGCATTACTCTAAAAAATGTCCAAGCTTTAAGCAACATGGGCTAACTGCATCCCATACTGGTGACAACCTCCATTACCATGTGACTTCTAGAGTCTAGACAATAACAAGCCAGCACAAAACAGAATACAAAGTATATTTTATATTTTACCAGCATGTTGTACATTGTACAAATTCTTTAAGAAGGTCAAATTTTAAAGATAATCTAAACAAAAACCAAAATGAAAATAAAAGCTTATTACTTACATCTGGCCAGAATTCCAGCAACAATTGGTATTCGAGTTTCATTTTCTCCTAATTTAGATCTCAGATGAGCAGTTAATTGATCATAGCAGGTAAAATAGACAACTGTGGCAGGAATTGCCATCACTCTGTTAAAAGCACACAAAGAAATTTGTTCAGACTTTTCAAAACTTCTCAAAAAGGACTCAAAGGCATGGTTCAAGTGACAGAGTATTTACTTAACAATTATGAGGCCCTGTGTTGAATCCCCAGTATTGGGGTGGGAGTTAGAGAGGACTTAACAAATACTATTAAACTGAAATATTATAGCCAGGTAAAATGACTCAAGCCTGTAATCCTGGCTACCTGTGAAACAGAGATGGGAGATGATGGCTCAAGGCCAGTCAGAATGTTCAAGTATGAAAGACTTCATGGCATTCAATGACTAGGTATTATGTACCTTTGCCCCACCTACAGGGAAAGCATAATGGCTGGTGTATGCCTGTCTTCCCAGACCACAGGGAGGCACAAGAAGGATGATCACACTTCAGATTAGCCAGGGCATAAAATAAAGGCCTATCTAAAAAAATAGCCAGAGAAGGGAGAAGGATAAAGGATGAAGGAGGCTGAATACCCTTGATACAGATTGTTTCTATGAAAATAAAATAAGGAAATCTGTTAGGAATGCTATTGGGGGAGGAGAAGTCTGATAGAGGGAGTAAGATTGGAATACAGTGTGAAAATGTGTGGGGAGGTAACAATGAAATCCTTCCTCTTGTATAACAAATATAAGCTAATGAGCAAAAAGGGCTGGAGGCAACCATCCCCCACAAAATTCAATATTAGGAGCTACAAGAAAATAATAAATTAAAAATCCCATCAGTCCATGATTTATCTATGTTTATTTAACAACTATATATTACTTAGTAAACAGTTTAAAATATATAAAAGGCATTTTCCCTTCAAAATTTTAAATGATTCTCATGAAGATAAATTATGATATACAGCATTAACTATCATGTAACCAAGCTCAGATCATGTAAAGAGCACAATCCCAAGTCATAAATAGGAAATGATTATTAGGCATCTTTTACAATTTCATGACTTTCTAGGTCTGTTTCTGGTCTTCCAGATCTGCCTTTTCAATTAATGTTGACCATTATAATATTTTAAATATTATATTTTAATATATTATATTGAATATGACATTTTAAAAGGTTCAGGAACAAGTATAAAGCCATACGGATCATATATCATACATGTTTACTTTCTGGGAGCTAGAAGTTTTATTAATCAGAGCTTATCACACAAATGAAATGTTCCTTCATAACCAATGTCCAATAAAATTTGGCAAACTCAACTGGGTTTACTAAGGCAAAAATGTTGCACATTATATCTAGTCAGATAGAAAACTAATTTGCAATGCCCTAAGAGATGACTTTGGAAGTCCACAGACTGGTCAATTCCCAATGTCCCTTTTTCCTTACCCATTTTGCTTTTAGCTGTAATGAACCATATCCATGAGCACAGCCCTCCTGAGGGTCTAAGTCCTCCAAGTACATCACAATGTTTCAGGAAGAGCACAAATATTTAAAATGAAGACTTTGTCTAACCATGCTGATTACAACCATCACTCAGTAGAAAAAGTATTTGATTTCAACTTACAGAGTAGGAGGAAGACCACTCCACAGGGATTTAATGCCTTCATTTCGAATGATTTTTAAAAAGGCATCCTATAATAGAAAAGCACATTGCTATATATAAAAAAAGTCAAAATTATCCCTAAACTTGATATATATATATATATATATAATATATATAATGATAACTGATGATTCTTTTATGCATTGATTGCTAAAATAAAAGCTTCTTGGATTTAAGTATGTTTATTCTTTTTTTTCTTAAAAAAGATAATTTTAACGTAAGTAAAATGAACACCTGTGGAAAATATTTCTTACAGAATAATGTCTCTATTACTTGGCTCTGTATTGTACTACTTAGTTCTACTTTAAAGCTTTTTCACTTCTGTAAGTTTCTTTTTAACTGGCACACAGATGTACAAGGGTAGTTTCATTGTGATATTTCTACACATACATACAACATATTCCAATCATTCTCACTCCTTCCATCACTTTTTTTTTGAGGTGGTACTGGGGCTTGAACTCAGGATTCATCTCAAAAATAAATAAGACAGATAACAAGTACTAATGACAATATGAACAGATAGGAGTCCTCATAAATTTCTGCTGGGAATAAAATGGTATAGTCATGCTGGAAAATAGGAGGGCACTTTCTCCAAAGTATAAATTTAGTGGTATAATGTGATCCGCCAATCCCAATTCCAGATATTCAAGAAAAATTATTTGGGACTAAGAAGAAATAAAATATGACATGCTATGATATTAATGAACCATAAAACACTGTGTTATTTACAAAGCTCATCACAAAGGACGGCATGTTGTCCTAGGAAAAGTGAAACATAGTAAGCTTAAAGTTTTAAGACAATAACTGCTCTACTCTAGCCAAATGCTCTTGAGGCTTACTTTATCATAAAAAGATGCAAATATTTACAAGAATTTTTGTTCCAAAAAGCTAAAAACTGAAAACAGCCTTGAAAGCAAACTGTTGCACATGTACACCATGGAATACTAATAAGCAATAAAGAGGAACATGATTGACACATGTAACAACCTGGAAAATTATTTTAAGTTAAAAATGCCTATAATCCTTTGACTTGGGAGGATATAATATGTGTTTGTGGTATGTGTAGTATGTGGCGTGTGTGTGTACTTCTGTATGTATTGTGTGTGAGGTGTGGTGTGGTTGGTGTGTGTCTGTATAGAGAAAGAGTTCTGTGGCAGCTTACACTACAATAAGAAACTTAAAAAGAAAGCAAAAAACAAAAAAGAGCTGGGTGTGGTGGCTCTGACCTGTAATCCTACTTGGAATCAGAAACTGGGAATGAAGATATACTTACAGACAGTCGGGTAAAAAAGTAGCAAGACCCCATTCTCAACATATATGCCAAGTATGGGTGACTGCAATCCCAGGAAACTGGGAGGCATAGTAGACTATGTTTTAGAGTGGTCCTGGCAAAAGGCAAGGCCCTCTATCTAAAAACTTTTAAAACCTTGAAAAGCCAAAGGAACTGGAGGTTCTCAAGCAGTGGAGTGCTTGCCGAGCTATTGCAAGGCTCTGATTTCAAATCTCAGTTACACACCCCCACCACCACCTTCCAAAAAAGCCAAATCCCTAAAAGTTAGACATATTAGGATTCCACACATATAGTGCTTTTGAAATGACAAAATTTTATAAATTGAGAACAGATTAGTAATTGCCAGAGGTAAGTAAGAGCAGAGCACAGGTTGTAGCTAGCTCTCAAAGGGGAACAGGCACAATCACTGTAATGATAGAATAGATTTTTAAGTTAACATTAATACCTCAGTTGTGACCTTCCCTACTACTGTAAGGTGTTATTACCACTGGATAAAACTGGAAAGAACAGAGATGAGATTTGTTTGTACAATTCTCTTAATATTACAAGCGATCTACAATTATCTCAAAATAAAAATACCTAATTTTATAAAACTACACCCTCTTTTATTTCTCCATAAAAAGCATAAACCAAGAAAAGATATCAAAGAGCTAAGAGGAAAGAAATACTTTACTTTTTTGATATGATGGACTTCTTTACTTCCCTACGATTGGAAGTGTAAAAATAGAAAACATACAGGATTCTAAACAATATAATCTCCTTACCAATGTTCCCCGGAAGTTTCCTGGCTTCTCGTACCATGCTTTGCTGCCTGCCTCTTCACAGATACACATGTGATCCATGAGTCCATTACTGTACATAAAGCATTTTCCTGACAAAGGAGTCCAGCAGTCAGTAATTACCTCACATAATTAATAGTTTTATAGACAAATAAAAAAAGAATAATGGGGAGACTAGAAAACTATGGAAAGATAAATTACCTTGAAAAATAAAGTAACTCCATTCAAGAATGAATCCATTTTGCTTAATGATATGGCAATGGGTTCTAAACTCACTTGTGAAAAGTCATGGAATAAATTAGTCATAAATTTTTATTTTGTCAGAAATGTACACAGAAATAAATTATGTTATTCACGGGAAGAAACAAGACAAAGGAAGAAAGGCTTGATTTATAAAGAGAATATGGATGCATACCTATTTTACTTAAAAGTATGCATGAGAAATTTAGACATAAATGGATTAGAGAGTAATTGTATTCCTCAATGTAAATAATGCTATGCTCTGGCTCCTCCTCTATGTCTGTACTGCCTAGTCTAGCCATTGGTAACTTCCTACAACTTTCACTAATACCAAATTATTTACTAGGTCCACTCTTGTTGCCAAATTGTTTTCTTTGTTTATGCAATTTTCTGAGTACTATAATGTATAAGTCTAAATATCCCCTTTTGCTTTTGGATTTCATTGTTTGATGGAGTTACTGGGGTTTGAACTCAAGGGTTTAAATTCAAATTGGTAGGCAAGCTCTCTATTGAAGAGCGACAACTCCAGCCCTTTTGAACACTGGTCCTTTTGAAAGAGGGTCTTGCTTTTTTCTCAGGTGTAAGCTCAGACCTTGATCCTCCTATTTTATGCTTCCTATATGCCCAGTTCTTCCATAGAGATGGAGTTTTGAAAAATATTTTTGTCCAGGCTTGCCTGGAACCTTGATCTTGCTGATCTCAACCTCCTGCATAGCTGGAACAACAGAGGTACTTACTGAATTCAATGACTGGTTGAGAAGGGATCTCATGAACTCTTTGTCTGAGCTAAACTCAAACTTCAATCCTCCCAATCTCAGTCTCTCAAATACCTAGGATTACAAGCATGAGTCACTGAACCTAGCTTCAAGACTTTCTTTAGTGTGTAAGAAATTACATTTCAGTTGTTTCTAATTATTCATCTAACCTTTTATTTATCTGAAAAAATGAGTTGTTCATTACATTCCATTTCTATGCCATCAACACAATTTTCTTTTTTTTGGGGGGTGGGTCTGGTGTGGGGCCTGAACTCTGGGCCTGGGCGCTGTCCCTCAGCTCTTCAGCTCAAGGCAAGTGCTCTACCACTTGAGCCACAGCGCCACTTCCAGCTTTTTTCTTTTTGCTTATGTAGTGCTGAGGAATTGAACCCAGAGCCTCATGCATGCAAGGCAAGCGCCCTACCACTGAGCTACTTTCCCAGCCCCATCAACACAATTTTCTCACAGTCCAGTCTATCCTCTGCTATTTGTTTTTTGCTAGTCCTGGGGCTTGAACTCAGGGCCTGAGCACTGTCCCTGAGCTTCTTTTTGTTCAAGGCTAGTGCTCTACCACTTGAGCCACAGCTCCACTTCTAGCTTTTTCTGTGTATGTGGCCCTGAGGAATCGAACCCAGGGCGTCATGCATACTAGGCAAGCACTGTACCTCTAAGCCACATTCCCAGCCCTATCATCTACTATTTAATACTTTTTTGGTTTGGTTTGGTTTTCATGTTTTAAGCTCAGGGCTGTGTGCCTGCAAAGCAAGTTCTCTACTACTAAGCTACATCCCCAGCCTCCTAAGTATGTTAAAAATAGATTGACCATGAAACTGGTATTCTTGCTCAACTTAAGAAACATATAATTACTTCTCTCAAATTCCACAAGAACTCCTGTCTAGCAATTAACCAGACTGCCTAATTACAAATTTCCAATAACTGGATTTAAGCAACAGTTAATTGTTAGAAATGTCGGAGAATGGATGGAAGACTTAGACAAAAGAGGAAGTTAAGATTCTAAGGTGTCTTATAAGTACAATTCTGATCTTACTTGAGAGGTATACACACACATATATAGTATATACAATCTGCAGCTTTACTTAATAGGTCTTAAGAGTGGTAGATATAATAGGTATGTGTGTACATATGTATGTATGTGTATATGCCTACACTTATCTTATAAAATGGTGAGCAAACATTTCTGCATTGGACATCCATTTTAATAAATTATCAAAAGTAGTATGAGTCAAATCAAAATGGCTGTAGACACGTTTATAGATCTAACATAACATTTTCAGGGTAAGTAACACACATACCTTTGGGAAAGGGGTTTCTCTGAGCTTGGAGTCGAATTTTAACTACATCCAGTGGTGTCACTATGAATACATAAGTTTCAATTAACAAATGATATGATTAAATTTTATAGAAATTTCCCAGAAAACAAGTGTCACTGTGGCTCAAGTGGTAGAACACTAGCCTTGAGCTCAAAGAGCTGGGAGACAGCACTCAGGCCCAGAGTTCAAGACCCATGACCAACAAAGCAAAACAAAACAAAAACTATGGAAGTAGTCTTGAAAATACCCACTAAACTATATTCCTAGCTCTTCAATATAACTTTCTAACATTTTTGCCCTCAAGTCTTGCTTAAAGAGGACTAGTGCAAAGAAATAGTACAGTTAATTCCCTCACAGGTATAGTCATTTATAATATAGCTACAACCACGTTCCACTAGCATTAATACTAAACTACGTATACCTACTAGTTAGAAGAATAGTCTCCAAAAGCAAGGAATGAAAGTTTCAAAAGTCTATTTAAAGATTTCACAATAAGTTTGTATCACAAGTAATTAGTAATCAATATTAGTCTTCCTAATCTGTTAAATTAACCTATAGCAACAAAAGCTGTAGGAAATGAAAACTTGAGAAAGCTAGTCAGATTATTATAGAATTAGGTTATATCATTTGGGAACAGCATGGCAAATCACACCATTTTAATTTGCATGCTTTATTTTATCTAAGTAGGAAAAAAATGCCACATGTTAATTCCAAGAAAACGTTGCCCTATCTGAAAAGTCACATTACATAGTCCCAAATTCTAATCTGCAGATGCATTATAAAATAATGTACTTTATTTGTTCTAAGCATTCATCTTCTTAATTAAAAAACCTAACCAACTTAAAATAATTACAATGCTAAATTGTTACCTATACCATTTGGCTATGTCTATAAGAAACTCACAGTAAGAAATAGAAAAACAAGTTGGGTATTGCTGGCTTATGCCTATAATCCTAGCTATTCAGAGGCTGAGCTTTGGAGGATTATGGTTCAAAGCCAGACCAGAAAGAAAAGATTAGAAGACTCAACCCCAAATTAACTAGTGAAAAGGCAGGCTTGAGGTGTGGCTCCAGTGGTAGAGCTCTGTGAGTAACCACATTGAGTAAGAATATGAGATACTAATTTCAAGATCTCAAATTGGCAAAATAATAACAACAACAAAAATGTGATCAAAGGAAATTTTCAAAATTCACCGTAATACAATGTAAGATTCTGTTTATTTGGTGGCTAACATAAATTGCCTAGGTTGTTTTATTCAGTATGCAAACATTTTACCTAATTGCTTTTTATTTAAAGAGGTAAGACATAAAAATCTGGTGACTCTCAAAAAATCTTTCAATTTCTGATTTAATGAAAAGTTCATAGAGAAGGATATGCTGTCCTCAAGTATATTCACCGTTAGAGTGCCAAAGCAAGGACCAAATTCAAGGCTCTTGATTTTCTGTGTCCAGACTTCCTTTGATATTATCAGATTCATAAGGAGTATTAGCATCATTTATGATTAGTAGTAACTATTTCAAAGACAGTCAAACTCTAATGGATGCATTGATTCATTCAACATTGTACAGTCTACACTGGTGTTGTAATTTTACCCATTAGTGATGTCAATATTGCTCCAGTACAAGAGGCCAGCATTTGCTGTAGAGGTGTCACTTTGACTATCGGTGGGTCTTCTGTTTCAGTAACCATATTTTTAACTAATTAGAGAAAAATCTGTTAAAGAAAAGCAAAGAATGAAAAAGTTTAACAATAAATGACTTTAAAATTGACTGGTAATGTTACACTTTTAAAATAATAACCCAAGAGGGGTACTGGTGGCTATCCCTGAAATTCTAGCTACTGAGGAGGCTGAGTTCTAAGGACTGGTTTGAAGCCAGCCCAGGAAGAAAAGTCTATGAAACTCTTATTTCTAATGAACTACCAAAAATCCAGAAGTGGAGCTGTGGCTTAAATGGCAGAGTCTTGAGCAAGAAAGCCCAGGTTCAGCACCAAAGCCGTGGGATCAGCATAACAATAGTAATAAGTATACCCAGAAGCTGAGACTATAGCTTAGTGGTAGAGAGTTTGCTTACGTTAGCATGTGTAACACCTTAAGTCTGAATTCCTATCATTGAAAAAAAAATTTATATCAGAACACTTGTTTTTGAGCTTTATTAAAATTAAATATGTAAGTTCTGTATAAATAGGTATAACTATCACTAAAATAATATGTTCTCTGATCTTAAAATGGCCACTGTGTATCAGCTAAACTCTTAAGTGCAGCATCACTTTTTTTTGGTCAGTTGTGGGGCCTGAACTCTAGACCTGGGCGCTGTCCCTCAGCTCTTCAGCTCAAGGCTAGTGCTCTACCACTTGAGCCACAGCACCACTTCTGGCTTTTTTCTGCTTATGTAGTGCTGAGGAATCAAACCCAAGGCCTCATGCATGTAAGGCAAGTACTCTACCACTGAGCCACCTTCCCAGCCCTGCACATCACATTTTAAAGACAGCTAAGAGAGAGTTATGGAAATAGACTCTGACCTAGTGACAGTAAAAGAAGCTGACCAACAAAAAGTTACAGAATCTGTAAATTTACAGTGTTAATTTTGTCTCATGAACACTATTCAGATGCCTTAATCTAATACTGAATATCATTAAATACTGTACTATCTTTATTAAATACCAAAAGTAATTTCATGGGTATAAAACAAAATGTTTAGCTTTAATGAGAAGCAGCTTTCAAAAATTATTTTGGAAAAGCAATATATACTGTATTTTAAAGTCAGGTAGCATGAGGAGTAAAAAAAGTTGCTTACACTTACTAATTAAAAATAGCCAGTGAGTCGGGGCATGGAAGTACACATTTTATAATCCTAAGCACCCAGAAAGCAGAGGCAGAAGGATCAGGTGTTCCAAGACAGCCTGGGATACACACATCTTGAAAATCAAAACACAAAATCCCAGCTGGGTACCTGTATAATCCTAGCTACTCAGAAGACTGACATGTGGAGACTGTGTTTCAAAGCCAGCCTGCGCAGGAAAATCCAGTGTTCTGTTATCTCCAGTTAATTAGCCACCAAAAAGTAGAGCTGTGGCTCAAGTGGTAGAATGTTAGCCATGAGCAAAACAAGCTCAGGAACAGTGCCTAGGCAGCAAGCCTCAGGACTGACACAAGATTAAGAAAATAAACTTGATACAAACTGCCCAAATCCTTTCTAGAAAGGACAGACCAATTTACACTTCCACTGGCAATATATGATTTCCTACTGATCCACAAAGTCAAACCCCACAGTCACATTATGTCTTTTTTTTTCTTTGAGCTATTCAAAATTAGATCCCATTTATCAAGCTTCTTTGGTCTAAATACTTACAGTATTCTCTCACAGTACAATGAGCAAATTTAAGAAAGTTAATTTTGACATAATCCAGTTTTATCAGGTTTATCAATTTCTTATAGAAACCATGATACTTTGGTACTTTTTTATGAAGAGAAAACTACAATATTCAACATCTGCTATCTTAAATGTTACTCTTTTTAAATTAAAAAAATTTAATTAAAAATTTTAAGAGGTTTCATTGTGACTTTTCCCTACATATATATAATATATCCCAATCAATCTCCCCTCCTTTTCCAACAAGACCTTAAAAGCACCTTTTTTTTTTTTTTTTAAGATTTCCTTACCTACCTCCCTGGTTTAAGTCTTTTCCTCAATTCTATGCTCCAATATTTCACCGTTTGTAACATCAGAAGCTGAAAACCTGTAGTAAAAAAACAAGAATCTTTTTATGTAGAAAAGCAGAGTATACAAACTATAAGACATCAGCCAACAATTATTTATTAAATGTTTTCTATTAAGTTAGCGTCTTCTTTTTAGACATAAAGTTTCACTCTGTAGCCTAAGCTGGTCTCAAATTTGTGATCTTCCTGCCTCAGTCTCCTGAGCACTGGAATTATAGAAGTATCCCCCTATACCAGCTCTACTAAATGCTTTAAGAAATATGAGGACCCTTCACAAATGCAAGCATTAAAGTTATGAAATCATTTCCATTAACACTTCCTGTTATCCAAGTTAGTACATTCATCTTTAAAAATAAACATCTCTAGAACCAAAACAGTGCTCAACCTTTGCACCACTCATAGTGGAACAATTATATGCAAACTGTTCTACAGAAAATCTCTAGAATATTTTCATCTATCATGTCTTGTTTATACCTGTGCTGGGGTGTAGCTCACTAGCTGGTCCTGAGTTCAATCCCTAGGATCAAAAAGGAAAAGAAAAAGAAAAACCCAACCTCTATACCTATTAAACAACAACGTCAAGTTTCCCTTCCCACCCAGCCCTTGACAACCAATTCTAATTTCTGCTTTTGTGAGTTTTAGTACATTAAATACCTCCGAATTGGAATCATATATCAATCAGTAGGTATCCTTTTACAACTGGCTTACTTCATTTAGTATGTTACTATCTTCATTTAGTATGTTGCTTAGTTCATTTAGTATATCATCAGTCTAAGCATAGGTAATAATCCATTTGTTTATGTATAAATATGAATATAAATTTTAAGGACATGTAGAGTATTTCTGCCTCTTGGCAACTGTATTTAATAAATGTGTAAATGTAAACATTTTTTGAGGCCCTGATTTCAGTTTTGAGTAAGTATTCAGAGGTGGAACTGTGGGATGTACAGCTGTGCTATTTTTACCCTTTGGAAGGACTTCAATACAGTTTGCCTTAAGGCTATACCATTTTACATTCCCACCAACTGCACACAAGAATTCCAATTTCTCCATGCAGTTTTAGTCAACTTGGAATCTGTGACCAAATACCTGAGAAACAATTTACAAAAAGGAAAGGTTTATTTTTGGCTCACAGTTTCAGAGATTTCAGTTCATGGTCGATTGACTATGATGCTCCCCAATAGCCCAGGACTGGTCTTCAGTCTGTGGAATACTAATGGGAGATGGTAGAACCTTTAAAAAATGGGAGATCTTGATTTATTGGAGGCATGCCTTTTAAGGGTATATAGCTGCTTCCCCATCAGTCATGCCCTGGCCACAAGGTGACTGGTTTTGCTATGGGTAGCCATGATGTGTTGATATGCTGCCACAGGCCCATAAGCAACCGGTCAATCTAATCATGAACTAAAACCTCCAAAACTTGGAGTTAAAATTTTTTTTCCAAGTTCATTGTCTCAACAGAAAGCTGACTATCAGAGTACTGGTGCCAAGAAGGGAGTTTCGACATTGCTGTGACTATGCCTAAAGATGTGGAAGAACCTTCAGAGTTGGTTTGCAAGGTGAGATTTGAAAGACTTGGATAACTGAATAGAAAAAAAACCTAGATATGATATAGGCAGAGCTTAATGGGGGTGATTCTGGTAAAGTCTCAGAAGATCAAAATGCTGACCAAAAATGGACAGTTAAGTCTCATATGGAAATAAAGGTCTGCTCATATTATATACTATGATAAATAATTCTATTCAAGACTGACCTATGTTCTGCTCAAAGGTGATGGACTTGCTTACCAGGAGAAGAAATTTCAAGGCAGCAAATCATTCAGACAGTGGCTTGGGTATTAGTGGCTGCTTTTAGTCAGATTTACAGTGATAATCAGAAACAAAAAGAAGCAGACATTTAAATTCACAGCTTGTCCAGAAAAGGAGCAATAAGAGTTATGCCTTGAGGATATCTCAGGAGGAACAAACTAGAGAAGTCAAGGAGACTGTGAGCAAAACTTCACAGGCTAGATGCTACCAGGAATACCTACAATTTGTACTGAGTACCTACAGTTTGTACTGAATGAGCTAACAGATGGAATGAGGATTCTCTTTCAAAACTGGACTAGAGGCCAGGACCTAGTCTACTGAAGAGAAGATTACAGGCCTACCCTTGTAGGCTCAAAGGTGTTAAAAAGTATAAATCTGTTTCAGACTCCTTTGTTTTACAGCGCAGAGCATCCAGATTACTCAGAAACACTGGAATCAACAAGTCACTCAAGAAGCTTCTTAAGTACATGTGACCTAAACACAGCTCACATCATGGCCGACTGGCTTCATTTATGTGATGCTAATTTTGCGGACATGCAGATTTCAAGAGGGTAGGAAGAAGTCTCTGACAAGATTTCAAAGGAAAGCTTTGGAGGCCAGACAGTATATGACATGGTTGGATTTCCTGTAAACAGGCCTAGACAGGATGATAGGTGAGCTGTAAGAGTGAAATCAAAGCTGCAATGGAGACACAACATAGGAAGTGATGCCAAGAGTGTGGAATGTCTGCCAGAGGAAGCTGCAGGCAGTATACAGGTAACCCAAGAGAACAGTGATGTGGACGGCAGTGTGCCCATTCAATGTGACTGCTGGGTCCACTGCATCCTTTGTAACCCAGATCCACCATGGTATGCCACAGATGCCAAACATGGAGACTTGGGATTTAATGTTTGCTTTGATGAGTTTCGATCTTATTTGGTATGATCCCTCATTATTTTTTTATTCCTTCCTTTTGGAATAGTTATCTTTACCCTGTATCTTAAAAGTATACATAATTTGTTTGTGCCTGTGTTTGTAATTGGCAATACTAGGTTTAAAATTTGGGAACTCAACATACCATACCATTCAAGCCACACCCCTAGTCTATTTTGCTTTAGTTTTGTTTTTAATAGAGTCTCATACTTTTGATCAAGCTGGCCTTAGACAGTAATCTTCTTATCTCTGCCTTTCAAGTATCTGGCATCACAGGTGTGTACCAAAATGCTTACATGGCTTTTTAGAGACAGAGTTAACACCAAATTTTCCTAGGCTGGTCTCCAATTGTAATTCTTCTACCTCTGCTTCCTACATAGCTGGGATTACAGGTGAGTACCACCATGCCCAGCTCAACATAATTTGGTTTCAGTACTTTTATTGGTGATCACAGCTGAGTTTTCCTTGAGTCTCAGAGGAAACTTTGAATTTGGGGTTATGAATAAAGATGTTACAGTTACATAGATAGATTACATGTATTTTGAACTATGAGATGCATATGAGTCTTGGGTGGCCAGTTTTAGAATACTATGCTTTATGTGCAAGACAGGCATAAAAGACATGTGCCTTGCTTGTCTGTGCTTGTTATAACCTAGGGCTGGGACCACAGGAAGGGAAGATTCCCATTAACCTCTTGCCAGCTTTTTGGTCTATTCCCCACCACTACCAAGGGACCTGGAAGAGATTTGGTCCTTCTAGCTTGAGACATGCCAAACAGCCTATCAGGCATTCTGGATACAAGCAGCTAAAGGTGTTCACCAAGAGTTGGGGAGTACACTGAAAATGGAGTGGACAAAAGTCTAGAACAGAAAAGTAATGTTTAATCATGCAACTTGGAATACTTGCCTAGTATGCACAAATTCCTGAGTTTGATCCCCAGCGCCACTCAAAGAGGCTCAAGGTCCTCAAGTCACTTAAGGATAGGGCTGTTACTAAATGAAATTCATTTCTCTTGATTCAAGGCCAAATGTTCATGCAACTAGACCATGACTCTGCTCAAAGTTCTCCAATTTTGCTCAGTAGGCGGCTTTAAACAAGCTTTTGACCACAAATAACTCTGCCTCCATTAATTTCTTAACCTTTTATCTGAAGGGTTCTTTTCAAGCACATTTTAAATTTCTGCTTTAACATAAATCTTGCTCAGTTTTTGGAGGGGTAGGGTACTGTGGTTTCAACTAAGGTCCCCAATCCCACCCAGCCTATCTCCCCATACTAAACAGAAGCACTACCACTTGGGTCATTCAAGGCCACAAACCACAGTAATAAATGTGATTATTAACCTAAAAGATAAGGAGATTTCTGTTTTTAATGGCCACAGATACATGACAAAGTCCTTCTTACGGTTAGTAAAAGATTTTGGTTCCAATAATAATAAATGATATCTATACACATGTACATATATATATACATACATACCAACCACCCTTTAATTACATTCTATAATATTAACTCTATTCTACAGTAGTTTTTTTCAGCTTTTTAAATTTTTTGGTAACATACAAATCTGGTGCTTTCTATAGTTTATACTTTAACAATAGGTACTTTCTCCCAAACAGAGATGATAAAATCAAACTACACATCCTACTGCCTCTCAAGATCTGTAAACTCTTATCCTTCACTCCACGTGTGATGTCCATTATCCGGTACAATGTCTCCTGTCCTCCAGAAGTCCCTCTCCCAGCCCACTCTCCTGAGTTGCAAATACCTCCATCTATCTAACAAACACAGTTTGGCTGTGTTGGCTCCACAGCTGCTCCAGACTTTTCAACCTAAACCTTAGTCCCCAACAAAACTTTCCTTCCCCTTGGCAACCTCAATCTCTATGTTGGCTAACGGCCCAATCCACTCTTGCCTCTAATACACTTAATTACAAAATGGTATACTGACACAGCCTGGACTTCTCTGAAGGACTACAGCAAAGAAGCAACCACCATGTGGTGCAGGGCCCAGGGCCCAGGCCACAGGGCTGAGACACACCCTCCTTCCACAGGGTTCAGAGTTCTCAGAGAGGCTGCCAACAGGGTCACAGGGCACCTGGGCCGGCCGCGCCCGCCGTCCCCTGCGGCCCCGCGCCCCGCTGCAGCCTCCACACTGGCTTCTCCACCCCGCAGGGTGCTCGGGGGCGCAGCCCGGAGCGCGGGGGGACGGGGGCTGCCGCCAGCCCCGGGGGCGCGGCCTGCGACCTCCGGGCGTCCGGGCCACGGGAAACAGGCTTACCTGGTGGAGAGGTGGCCGGAGCGCAGGGGGTCCCAGTGATCCTAGAGGGTTGTGGCCGGTTGGCTGACCTCCGGGACGGCGTCGGCCACCTCGGTCCTACACCTCAGGCAGGCTGACAGGCCAAGGTGGCGTCTGGAACCCCAAGCGGACGGAGAGCGGGACCCTGCCGCCGGGAGGACAGCGGGAAGGGGGAGGGGCGGGAAGGGGCGTGGCCTGGGCTGGAGGGGCGGGACGCAGGGGTCACGTGAGGCGAGCGCGGCACGCTGAGGGGGCGGGGCCACCGTGTCAGCGCCGCGGTCGCGTGACGCGTTTTCAAATCTTCAACCGCCGCGGCCCACTCGTTGGTGCGTTTTCTGCTTCCTCGCCAGCGCCCCGGACTCGCGGCCCGACCCAGAAACCCGGCCTGCGGACGCCTCTCCTCTACCGCGGGGACGCGGTGGCCCGTGGAAGAAGAGAGGCCGCGGGCGAGTCGACAGCACGGCCTGGTTTTCGCGGCCGGAGGTCGCGGCTCCCGCTGGGGACCCAGCATGTAGGTGTCCGGCGGATGCTATGAACCCCGAAACCATGAGGATCCACAGCCGCGGCCGTTTCCAGGGTACGAGGCCCCTCCGGCGTCTGCCGCCCCTTTAACCCCGTCCTCCTCCCGCGGTTCCACCGTGGACTCCGCCGCCTTCTCCCGCCGCTTCCTTCCCTTTCCGGTTGGTTCTGTCCTGGGGCCCGCCGGAAGGC